GATAGAGAGAAACAGAGGCCAGCCATGAAGGCCTTTGAGAATCAACTTGTATCCCCTCCAGCTGGCATGGCCAGCAAGCGTGTTTCCTGCGAGTGAACACCCCAGGCAGACATAGCTGATGCATAGGCGCGATGCCAAAGGCAACATCTTTGGAACAAAGTGGGAGGAGGTTAAACTGGCATGGGTAGCACAGAAGAGGTGAAGCCAGAGCTGGACAGCTCACCCCAAGGCAGCTGGGCACCTGCCACACCGTGCAACAGACAGTCTTGACCTGAGAAGCTGCCACAAACAATTGGGAGGGTTACAACTGTGGTCTGCTTTTTGACCCTCCTAACTTCTCTTTACCTCCTCCTTACACCATTACCCTGCAAGAGCTGAGGCACAATGCAGTGGAGGAAGAAACATCGTCAGAGCCCATCAGAGCTCCACAAGCATGAGATTGCACCAAAGCAGTGAAGGGAGAAGCATGTAAATCAAGCTAGAGATGGGCGTTTGATCCTGGATGGTATGGAGCTTGTAACAATGCTGAAGGGGTCAGGACATGACGGGAACTAGCCAACTTGTCATTCATGAGTTTCCTGCACCTTGCAGGGGTGAGTCAGTGGAGTGCTGATGAAGGCAAAGACTGCCAAGCCAGGAGAATTTTGCTTCTACACCAGGGGGTTGCCTCTGCGTCTGCTTCCCTCTCGGAGCTCCCATGGGGCTTCAGTGACCTGAGAAGCAGCTTCCAGCATTGGGTGGGAAGGTAAAGGTGAGCTTTTCCCTGAGGAGGTGATGACAGTCCATGTGATAGCCCTGTTGGAAGGAATTTACGTAAAACGCATCGTGCAAACTGGGATGAGCAGGTCTCTTTGAGACAATGTGAGAGTTTCAATTTTTCAGATCCTTTTTATTTATTTGTTTTATTTTGAAGGCAGAGAGGTTCTTCCATCTGTGTGTTTGCTTTCCAAATGCCTACGACAGCCAGAGCTGGGTCAGGTGGAAAGCAGGAGCCCAGAACTCCATGTGGGTCTCCCACATGGCTGGCAGGGCCCCAAGTAGTTGTCCCGCTATTGCTGCTTTCCAGAGCGCGTGTGAGCAGGAAGCTAGACAGGAAGTGGAGTCCATAGGACTCAAACCAAGTACTCTGAAATGTAATACAAGCATCCCAAGCAGCAACGTAACCTAATATTGCACGTTTTCAACTTAGTAAAACATAATCAGCATGGTGGTGGTTACCAAAGTTGTTCAGAGATATTCTGATTTTATTTCAGGGTCCTTAGACCATGCCTTTGTGATCAGTGGGACTCTGCAATTAGCGTTCAGCATTGGACTGTGAGCAGAATCACAAATGTCATTTCCAGACGGAAGTTCTAAGAATCCGGGTGTAATAATACACTAGCCTTCCTTCTCCCTGCTCCCATGAGGAAAGACTTCCTCAACCCAGGTCCCCAAGTGAGGACAATGTAGAGTGGCACCCCACTGCCACCCACTGTCTGTGGTGAGGAGAACACCTTGTGTTTAAGCCCCAAGGATGGCAGGGCCTCAAGTCACTATGGCTGCTCCTCATCTTTTCAGGCTGATTATCAGAGTGGTCCCACCCAAGCAGCCCGTGCTCCCCACGCTGTCAAGCCTGTGGATTGTCAGGCTGGCTCTGGACTTGTAGATGGGCACTTCCAGGTGCCACATACAGGGTCATCAGCTAGAGTCAGTGCTTTCGCTAGGAGCAGAATGGGAAGGGTCCTGAGGCTGCCATATTGGGAGAAAGCAGAGCAGGGAGGCTGCAGCTTACTGTGCAGTCAAGTGCAACTTCAGACCTGTGCGGGGTGCGTCAACCCAAAGCTGCCTGTGAAGCTCTGCGGGAGTCAGTGCCTTCCTTTCCCTTTCCCAGACCCTTGAAATCTGCAGTCTTAGACCTTCCAGGAAAGCACCCGGGGACAGGCAGAGCGCCAGGCCCCCCAGTCAGAACACCTGAGGGCAAGTCCTGCTCTGCTCTTCCCAGCTGTGTGGCATCAAGCAAGCCGCTGAGCTCCTGGGTCTGTGTGTACTCTCAGGATCTGTGCACAATGATACATGTGTTAGTGAGTTGTGGTGGGGTTTGCAACGCAGCAGCTGGTGGATGGGCAATAGACTGGCCAGCCTCTCTCCTGCTGCTGTAGAGATCTTGCAGGTGAGCAAGGCCAGACAGGATGGAGGGCAGGGGTACTGGGTACGGGTGAGGGGGTCGCACACTGCAGGGCTCAAAAGCACTTAATGGGGGAATTGTGAAAGAGTGTTCTCTCGTGGAGGATAAGCGGGGGCACACAAAATGAGGCAAAAGGAATCTGGAGAAGGCTCTCCGGGGTTGGGGGAGGGTGTGGCCAGGAATAGCTGTGTGTGCGGAGAGGGCACAAGAAGACCCCAGGGGCACAGGGGATGCTGTAGAGCCCGCAGCCCTGCAGCTCTGCCAACCAAACCAGCAAGTGCTGCCTCTGGGCGTTCCCTGCAAACCTGGACTCAGCCTGCCTGAGCCCCACCAGGAGTCAGCTCCCAACCCAGAGCTGCATGAAGCTGCTGGAGTCAGCCTGAAGTCTTCCGCTTTATGGGAATAGAAGGGGCTTCCCCTTGGCCTGGCCCCCAAGCTCTACCAGCAACAGCGACAGCTGGGGCAGAAGGAGGAGAATCCCATGGGGCAGCTGTAATGGTGAAGAGGGAGAGCTGGAGAGAATACACACACATTGGGCAAGTCCCAAAGTGAGCAGCCTGACCAGCCGGGCGCCCCCTACAAACAGACACCACCTCCAGCCATTTGCAGATTCCCTGCTGGTTCAGTCCTTAAAACTGTGAGCTTCGTTCCTCCATGTGGGTGGCAGGAATTCAAATACTTGGGCCATCTTCTGATGCTTTCCCAGGTGTCTTAGCAGGGAGCTGGATTGGAAGTATAGCAGCTGGGACTCGAACTGGTGCCCAAAGGGAATGCTGGCGTGAGCGGCAACTGCTGGTTCAACTCACTATACCACAAGGCCAGACCCTGGGACTACCTTTAACAGCAACTCAGGCTTTGCAAGAGCAGATGAGAGAACAGCATAGGCCAGGGAAAGGGGACCACACTTTGTAAAAGTAACCAAAGTGTTACCCACTAGAGGGCGCCACTCAAAGAACGAGGCGACCACTGCCAAGGTTTACCCATTTTTATTTTGTATAAAACAAGCTACACATAGATCCCTTCACCCACCACGCTTCCCTCCCCCACAAAGGAAAACCATACCACATAGCCTACACATGTCACGTGAAGAAAACGCCTGAGGGGACCATGAACTACACCATAGGGAGGCCCCTTCTCTGTGCGCAAACACTTCCTCGCTTCCTCCGGCCAGGAGATGGGGCTGTCATGTTCACCCAGCTCCAGCACACTGCGCTTTCAAGGCCAACAAGCCGGGGCCTCCTTCCCACCTTACTGTGTCAAGATGGCCACCCCGAGCTAACGTTCAGGGCGGCCTGAGAGCCCCATCCACTCACATTCTGACAAGGCCAGGTCCCTCCCCCTATGGGCCAGTGCCTTGCAGACCTGTCTGCGTGGCAAAATACCCACCAGCTGCCAAGGTGGGCACTCATACAGGGATGCCAGGAGATGAGGCCAGTCGCCCATCTGAGGAGAGCAGCAGGCCTGGGCTCCCCAAACACTCTCAAGGCCATAAGGGCTGCTCCGAGGGTAAGGATGCTGCCACTGGCCACCGTGTCTGAAGGTCATCTGACTAGGAAGGTCGCCTGGGCTCCGGCGGCTGCACACCCCCCGAAGGCGAGGCACCACCTGCTGAATTCCTGTGTAGCCAAATGCCTTGCAAAGCTGGGCCTGCACTTCCTCTAGCCGGATTCTTACCCTGTGCCTCTAGTGCAGACAGAAACAGGAGACCCAAGCCCAGTGCTTCTTCTAGAATTGGCCAGAAGCCTAGAAGTTCATAAGAAAATTTAAAGGAACAGGAGGAACCTCAGTTTGGATGAAACAAACTGTGTGTAACTGACCCAACTCCTCCCTCAGGCTGCGACTGCTGCAGAGGACAAGGCCACGATGGGGGACAGGCAAAAGCTCCGAGTCAAGTCTCGGGACCTCCCATGGAGGTTTGCAGAAAGTCAGATTTCCTCCCCATTGGCTCCATCACTGGCCAGGACGGGCCTTCTGTCCTCCTTCCCTTCTGCCAAGGCCCATGTAGTTTTTACATCATTCACAAGCTGTACAAAATCATCAGCTTACCACTGAGTCTGCTATAGACTTACTGTACTTTGAGCCCTGTCTATGGTTGCCAATGGCAAGACCAGACCACACGACCTCACAAGGCTAGCACAGCTTGTGGCCCAGATGCTCCCCATCCCTGGGTTAGCCACTAAAAGGCCCTACTGGGTATCTTCTTTCTCCCTTCCTCTCAGGGTAGATGTTGAAACTTTCCTAACACATATTCAGTCAGAATTCGCAGGATGGAAGACAAACCAGGTCCAAGGAGAGCAGGAGGCGATGGATCCAGCGAGAGGTGGGGCCTGTGCTGGCTGCTCACCAGATGTGGCCTTCCCCTCTCCCCTCTCCCCACCTAGGACCAATACCCATCTATTGGCAATCCAGTGTCCCTTGAGCAGGGCCCGGGGCCAAGTGTGTCAGCAACTTCACCAGTTAACAGCACAGAGCAATGAACGCCAGCGGAGAGTGGCTGGAGTCGACAATACCATCGCAGGCTCCCAGCTCTATCTGCACGGCAGTCAGTCTCCAAACGGAATCTGGGCAGGCTGAGGACGGAGGCTTGTGTTCTAGAAGCATCCCTTCCACAGCAGGGAGAGGGAGGGGGGTAAACGAAGAGCAACGCTATCGCCTGTACAACAGAACTATACAATTTACATATATATTTATGTACAGTATATAAATCTCTTTCTTCTCAGTTCCAACAACACCCTTTCCCACCCCCCTCCCGCCCCACAAAAAAAAAACCCTAGGAGTTGTCAGTAGCAGATCCAAAAACTTATGAGAGAGAACCAGCAGTCCGTCTTCCCTCTCCTTTCCCCCTGTGGTGTTAGATACTGGTGTTTAAAAATGAAACCAAACGCAAGACACGCAAGGAAGAGTTACTGAAAGTGCAAACACGGTGGGCGTCATTTATGTTACAGGGGAGTGGCGGGGCCGCAGGCAGCACTGGAGGCTAGGGGTTCCTTGGCGCATCCTGTCCCCTTGACTCTGCACCTGCGCTCTGCTGTCTGGCTCCTTAGACGAGGCGTCCTATGGGGAGAAGGAGAAGGGTGCAAAAAGAAGGCAGGGAGGGAAGCAAAGAGAAGTTAACGTTGGGTGTATGAGAAATCTCCACTAGAATGGCCTTCTGCACCTGCTGTCAGATACAGGCTGGGTGAGGCACACTTCTAGATGTGCAGATCAGCACATTCGCCCAGCACATCCATTGTCACTCTCAGGTACCACGATGGCAATTGAAGGTTCCAGAGAATGGGGGTATGCTGGCACAGCTTGGGGCTGTGGGTACCCTGTGCAAAACCCCCTACCCCCTGGGCTGTGTTGACATGACAGGTGGGAGGGCAAAGTCCTCCCATCTTGGGCCCTCCACAAAAAGAGCAATGGGAAACAAGAGTCTAAGAGCCAGCCTTCCTTCTCACCAAGCTTCCTTGGGGTGGTGGGGATGGTGGCGGTGTGTGGTGTGAAGAAGGAGCCCCAGAAGAAGGCAACTTACTGAGAGGGTTTGTGTCTGCTTGCTTTCCCTGGGGGAGGCTGCCAAGGCTAGCACCTGCAACGCATAGAACACATGACACTCTGGGGACCTTCACCCAGGGAAGTGCTAAAGCTTTGCACGCACCTGGGTCCCAGCCTGGACTGGACAAAAGGCTCGGGAAGAAGCCAGGAAGCGTGGGGCTGGGCTTTCTGTCCTGTTTGTTCTGTCAACCTGGCTTAAGCCAGAAGAAAGAGGGACAAGCCATAATCTTGCAGGTGAGGTTACAGACGCAGAAGGCTTAAGCGACAGGCCCTAGGTGAGTCACGGTAGAACCAAGCTGGCTACCCCATATCCCTTCTCTGCCCCCTCAGCTGACTGCTCGTCCCAGTATGAACAGAAAGGATTGCGATATATCCGAGGAGAACAGAATTAAAATAATTTTGGTGCAAATGAATTTTGAAGCCCACGAGTAGCTTTTCCTAATGCACATTTTTTTCATGAACTTTTTGAAGATTCCTCATAGCTTTCAGAACCTTCTTTGCATCAGCACAAACTTGTCTTTTCAATCCTATTTCCAAGCCCCCTCCTACAGAAAGAAAACCTGTGGCAGCGGGACTGAGACATGGGAAGCAAAATGGGTCATCAGATATAAAGCCAGTTTGTACCACAGTGCTGCTTCATGTACACCCATCCCTGAACCCTCATAGTGACTTTACACAACAGTGATTAAGTTACCCCCAGGTTGTGATGGTGGGACTGAGGCTTGGAATACCCAGGAGCCTCACCAGGCTGGGCACAGGCTTCACATGGAGAAGCAAACTCAGACCCAACATGTGGCCAGGGAGGGCAGAGGAGAGGATGAGCCAGGGTGGCCAGTATCCTCAGGCAGGTCAAAGGGAGGGATGGCATTCCTGAAATATAGAGGTTCTCACCCCTCTTGCCTGCAAGGTGGTACCAACAACTCTGACACAAGCACCAGCCACTTCAGATACAGGCCAGGATCTCAGAATATCTGGCCAACAACCCAGTGCCGGGTTTTGGTTAGTACAAGAAGCCAAATTTCCATGGCATATCCTAAAGTTTAACCTCACACATCCCAGACTATACTTATTAAACTCCACAGCCTGTGGTCCACATACCTCACTTTTACCCCTACTTAGCCTCTTGCTAGCCACCAGAGGGCGCCACAAGACACCAAATGGCCAGCGTGTAGGGCTCATTGCCTGGAGCCACCACACAGACAGGTGTACTTACACTGAGGAGAAGGACAGAGGGGAACCACCGGCCTGTCGTCTGCCCAGGGGTGGCACCTTCCACTACTCATTTCTTTCATGCGTTTTCTGTGTACCAGGTACTGTGCTGCCTCCTCTCATGACAGCCTCACACCAAATCTGAGAGTTCAGGTAACTTGGCAAACGTTACACAGCATCAAGTGTCAGCGTGGGGACGACAAGCCAGACCTGCCTGACTCTAAGATCTTTTTACTCTTTTCTCTGCTGCCTATGCCTGAGTGAGGAATCCCCAGGCTCCTTCTCATTTCCTCAGGAGCTGTTGGGAGCCCATCTCCTGCTCTGCCTACTCTTTGCTAACAGCATCCCAAGGCCAGGTCTGCTGCCCTGGCTTCCTCATGTGAGCAAGCCAAGCCTGCTCACACCAGGCCCTATCTCTCACTGTGCCGGGCAGGTCCGTTCTCCTGCAGGAGGAGCGCCTGGCCTGGGATTCCTGAGGCTGGGCCAAGAGCCAGCAGGGATGCTGTGTAGCCTGGAGGAAGCTGCTACTTCCCGCCAGGTGTGTGTCTCTCTGGCACTGTGTGCACCTGCAACCACATATACTGTGGTGTGCACAGAATCACAGTGTGGACAGACGAATCCTGATCCATTCCCTGTCGGCTTGGCATCTCCACAGCCACCTGCCCATCCCATTCGACCAACCAACCCTACATCCCCTCTGCTTATCTCACGGCTCCATCCTCTGCACTCCCTGATCACACATGCAGACACTTGTAGCCACAAACATGCACCTGTACAAGCACTGCACAGGCCATGCACAGTCGTACTCACAGGGACACACAAAAAGGTGCAGACACTCATCCCTGGGCATCCCTGGCTGGTGTTCAGGGATCAGCAGCAGTCCCAAAGCTCTCTAGCGTCCCCAGTCCCACCTTTGCAAGCTGGGAGACTGGGCAGTAGATCAGGCCAAGGAGGATGACAGTGGCACTGCCAAGCACCTCCACAGGCAGAGTTTGGAAAAGTAACCTGAAACTCAGCCCTGCCCCAGCAGGGTGTAGGTTGGGAAGGAAGACCCGGATGAGGACTGCTCCCCAAGCAGCACACCCGCACCCCCCCCCCCCCGTCCCTGTGTGCTTCCTCTGGGGTTGCACATCAGCTGGACTGGAAGACACCTGGGCTCTGAGAAGGTTTCAGGGGAAGAGTGGGAATGACCTGCAGTCCCCACGCTCAGCCTTTCTTTGGCTTCTATGTGCAGTGACCATTGGAATTACCAGCATCAGAAGGGGCCAAAGATGGGACTACAGCAGAATTGTGACTTTTTCCCTGCACAGCCCTGACATGCTCCTGGCCAGGTCTGACGTCCACGCAGACACTGGATGGCCTCCTGCCTGTGCACTATGAGATGTGCATCTCAGTTTGAAAGCCCATCTGTCATGAGAACAAGTCCCTCATCCATTCACTCACTCACCAGGAGAATACCTGGGACTTGACCTTCACCCTCTGACATGGAATACCAACATCACAAGTGGCAGCTTAATCTACTATGTGACAGTACCAGCCACCTAGTATGCTTTTAAAAACTTGTATATATACTAATCAATTCCTTCTAGCGTCAGACTGTTTCCTAGGTACTGAGTAAATGAGAAGTCCTGTCCTTGTAGCGTGTATGGCTTTGTGGCAAGAGCCTCCCAGGCTGTCATGCAAATCATGCAATCACGTTCTAAGGCACAACATCCTTTCTCTGACTGAACCCTACACCAGTTTCCTTCTATCCTTCTGAAGCCATAGCTCTCCCCCTGCATCCAGAGGCTCTCCAATCTCACCCTGACCCTTGGCACCCCACTCCCGTGCCTGCCACCTGGACTAACAGCTTTCAGTGTCTCTAAAGCTGGTTCCCGTCTCCACTCCCCATTAGCATCTCTCATAACTCTCTCTTTGACCAGCTCCCACTGGCACATCAGGTGTTGGTTTAGAACAGAGGTTCAAAAATATGTTTGTACAAAACTGAATCATAAATATGTAAAAGGTCATCTGGGCCCTGGACAGTCTTTGGCTGATACTCATCTTCTTTATTTAAAATAACAACTTAAAAAAAAAAAGATTTATTCATTTGAGAGGCAGAGTTAGAAAGAGAAAGGGAGAGACAGATACAGAGCTTCTGTCCATTGCTTCACTCCCCAAATGGCCATAATGGCTGGGTCTGGACCAGATTAAAGCCAGGAGCTTGGAATTCCATCGGAAGCTACCATGCCCTATCAGAGGCCCAAGCACTTAAGATTTCTTCCACTGTTTTCCCCAGGGCACATTAACAGGGAGCTGGATAGGAAACCAGCAGCTGGGATTTAAACTGGCTCTCACATGGGATGCTGGTGTCATAGGCCTCAGCTTAACCCACTACATGACGATGTTGGCCCCAAATGACAGTCCTCTAAAAGTGTAAAAGCTGGAGTGCGCCTCTGGCCTAGCAGTTTTGCAGGTTAGGGAACCTGTGCCCTGTAGCAGAGGGAACATCTGTGTTCCAGACCCAGCTCTGCTCCTTACTCCTTCTTCCTGCTAATGCACACACTGGAGGCAGTAGAAGACGACTCAGGAACTTGGTCCCTGACACCCACGTGGGAAACCTGAACTGAGTTCTAGGCTCCTGGCTTCAGCCTGGTCCAGCCAGGCTGTTGTGAGCATTGGGGAGCAAACCAGTAGATGCTAGGTCCCTTACTATCTCTCTCTGGGTGTATCTGTCTCTAGAATAAATAGAATAAATGCACCAATACTTAAAATACAAATTCTATCACTTTGCCCACAGGCCATGGATTTGATCAGGTGTGTGGCTTGGTGAGCCATGGTTTTAGGAAGTCTTCATTTCCAAGGAGACCCAAAGTTATCCACCCACTGAGTGATGCAGGGGTCCCACAACTTCCTCCACCTGTTCTGCCACATTGGTGCTTAGCAAATTCCCATGCTTTGTTCCTCTTCCTGACTTCCTGGTCTCCTTCCTGCTGCTGAGTATGGTCTAGTGACTGACTTCTAGCCAGTGCAATATGAGGCATCATGTGTGCCATATCCAGAGCTAGCCCACGAAGCTCTCTCCCTCCACTGTTGCAGGCTGATTCCCCCCGGTTCCCAGGGGTGACCCTTGAAGGCACACGGTGACGACAAAAAGACAGAGTCACTCGCAGCCTGGTTCTCAAGGTGACTTCAGGGAGGAATCCCCTTGCCAAGTGGTTTTTACACACACACACACACACACACACACACACACACACACACACACACACCCCATGCTGATCTATTCTATGAGCAAGAGAAAACATCTGTGCTCTGTTGAGCCATGACATGTATGGCTCTACTTGTTACTGTAGCCTGTCCTCACTAATACACTCCTCCCAAGGCACTTATCCCAATGCAGGAGAATATTTATTTAAAAAACAAATGTTTCTCCTGAGTAGACGGAGGGAAGAGAGGGCCCCAACAGTGTGCCCCGCCACTGTATCAGGCATGGCACAATCCCAGGGAATAGTTGTGGAATACGAAGGCTGCTGGTGCTCACTGAATCACTGCTAGTGATGTCAGAGCCCCGAGACCCTGCACAGCACAGCCAGGGGACCACTCACCTTCCTTGCTCACACCCAGGCAGCCCTTCAGCTCAGGCAGGGAGATGACCTTGTCCTTGTTGAGGTCGCAGTAGTCGGTGAAACGCCGGGCACATTTCTTGGGCTTGGCTTTCTTCTTCACGTAGCGCTTGAAGGGTTTCATCTCTCGCTTGTTGATGTCACTGCTGCTGTTGCTGTCCAGCTGGCTGAAGTACCAGTGCACCACGCGCTCCTCCAGGGTGTGGCTGGGATCTGGCTCTGAGAACCTGGGCCCAGAGAACACGGCTTAGGCTCCTGCAAGGGCCGCTCAGCCATCCCACCCTCTCTGCCCGCTCCAGCCCGCCGTGACTCTCTCCTGGGTGGTCAGAGGCCAGGACTCCTACTATAGTTCCAATGTAGTCCCCATCAAAACGTGTGCTGAAGTGTGGTTGCTGAGGAAACGGTGTTGGAACACACAGAGCCTGTAAGACAGTTTAACACCTTTCTTGCGACACTAGGTTAGCTCTCATGAGACTGAATGAGCCAGGAGCGTCTGGTCTCCTCGGTGTCCTTTTTCCTTGGTGCGCACCCATTTTTCCTCCTACTTGCTCCCATGAATTGAAGCTGGATGAAGCCCTCCGCTCACCAGAAGCGAAGAAGTTGCTGTCCCATGCTCTCAGACTCCCAGAACCTCCCAGTAAACCTCTTTAATTTGTAACTTAGTTTCACATATTCTGCTAGAGTGATAGAGAATAGACGGAGATGGCACTCACACCGGACTCCAAAGTCAGGAAGAAATAACTTCTCCAAGCGCAAGACCTCCAGATGCTCTCACGTTGGGGTAGTATCAGGCTGTCCAGTCCCACTTGAGTCTCATGATTGGTCCATTCTTTACACGGGCCCCACCCCCTGTATGCGCACCTTATGTCATGGGCCTTTCTCATCCTCGGCCACAGCCAGGTATGTCCTTGTGCATGATGGGTGCTTAGAACAACTTGGCTAACTCCCCAAAGCAAGCCACAGCTGGATTCTGGGCTGCCCTTCTCCCGGCTCCACATTCACTGCAGACACATGAATATGTGGTTGGATGCGACTGTGGTAAAGGGTGTTCCGTGTGGCCACCACATACTCAGTGCCAGGCCTGGTCCTAAGACATCCAAGCAGGCAGGTGCACCTCTCCCGGAGACAGAGCTAGCAGTACGCAAACAGGCAGTGATAAGTTGAAAGGAAATGTGGATGTTCATGGCCCCTCACTGCCTGGTACCAAGTGAACAGGAATTGAGAGAAAGTGACAGCTGAGATGGATGAAAAAGCCTTTCAAAGCCAGCCAGCCTGGGTCCTCTTAGAGTCTCTCCAGCCTGCAGTTTTTCCATTAAGAGGTCTGGGATGGAACCAGGAAATCATGTGTTAAGCAGCACCCCCAGGGGGTCCTGCTGAGGAATATGGAGCTAGAGTTATCCAGAACACTTCCTACTGTCCAGATGGCACAGCAACAGCCACGTCTGGCAAGACGAGGTGTCTGACTGATTGTCAAGTTACAAGATCAATTTTAAATTTTTAAATTTTTTTGTGCTCTACCTCCCCCACCCAAAGCATTAGGGTGGTAGCTAATATTTGCAATTTTTAGACGCTGCGTCTTTTTCAGAAGGCATGACTGGATGGAATCCCACAAGAACCATGGTTCTTAGTTCTAGGGCTGGGCACTGAGTCAATATCATTCAGGCCCTAGCAGCTTCTCTTGGGGAAGGGGAACAAGTTAAAGTGGCGAGTCGCATACTTCCAGGTGCTAGGCACTGGGACAGAACACGTGCCCACCGGGGTCAGACGACGGGGTGGAGGGACTGCAGTTACACAGGGAGGGGCCTGAGAGCAGAGATTCAGGGCCTGCTTGCACATGCTGAAGCTGTTCATAGTAAGAAAATATTCAAGGCACTTGCCAAAGTCACCCTATTTTCTTTGAGGTTTGCAGAGTTTTCCAGAAAGGAGGGGACCATCTCTGACTTCTTCCCTGTGAAAAATCCATCAAACTTCAAAAGTCAAAGAAAAAGAGTTTTAGCACAAAAAAAATAAAGAGGGAGGGCTTTGTGGCACAGCAAGTTAAGCTACGGCTTAGGATACCCACAATGCAATGCCTGGTTTGAATCTGGGTTACTTCATCTCTCTTTCTCTCTCTCTTTTTAAAGATTTATTTTATTTTCATTGGAAAGTAAGATATACAGAGAAGAGGAAAGAGGAGGAGAGACCAAGAGGAAGACCTTCTGTCCACTGATTCATTCCCCAAGAGGCCACAACGGCAGGAGCTGAGCTGATACAAAGCCAGGAGCCAGGAGCCTCTTTTGGGTCTCCCACATGGGTGCAGGGTCCCAGGCCTCCTCAACTGCCTTCCCAGGCCACAAGCACAGGGAGCTGGATGGGAAGCAGGGCCATTAGGGCATGAACTAATGCTCAAATGGGATCCAGGTGTGTGTAAGGTGAGGCCTTTAGTCACTAGGCTATCCCACCAGGCCCTACTTCAGACCTCTGACCCAGCTTTTGTCTAATGTGCCCAGGAGGTAGCAGATGATGGTCAAAGTACTTGGGAACAACCTGTCTTCTTCCATTTGGGAGACCCAAGATGGGTTGTTTGGCTCTTGGACTGGCTCTGGCTGGTGTGAAAATTTGGGGACTGAACCAGTAAACAGAAACTCTCACTAACTCTCTTCTTCTCTCTTGGTCTCCCTACCTCTCTCTCTCTCTCTCTGCCTCTTCCTTCCTTTCTATCACACTGCATTCCAAATCTGTTGAAAAAAATAAATAAAGATATAAAGCCAGACGTCCCTGTTGATGCCCAGCCTTAAAGCAGTGCCTTTCAATTTTCAACAGGTGCCCTAGGCATCCTGGACTGATGCCAAGAGGGCACAATGAATGGCTCTGTGAAAGGAATTTCTCCCTGGCAGGGCAGACCCAGGGAGAACCTGGGCATCCAGAGGCGGGGGGTGGGGCTGCAGCTAGGTGGAGCCCCCAGCTACCTCTGGCTCTGTGGGACTCTGAAACCAAGCGCAGGGGGTCTTTGCATTGGGTGTCAGGTTATTCCCTGCGTGGCTCACACCTGGTCCTCTCCAGGGCACATAGCTTATGAGTGCTTTCTCCTGATCTTCCTCCGTTTCCCAGCAACAATGACCTGGGGACCTCTCTGCCAGGCACATGCACACCTGGGGGACAGGCATGGAGTCCCCTGCAGGATGCAACGATGCAGGACACAGAGCTCTCCACTCCTCACCCCAACAGCCTCTGCTTTCCCTGGGGACCTGAGGGATGACACAGGCAGTGTCCCCATCTGGACAGTCAGGGACCTTTCCTCTGGCTTCCCTCCCACTGGGAGGCCACCAGGAGAGCCCAAGGCGAAGGTGGCGCTTCCTCTAACCTTTAGGCTCGGCATCGCGTCATGTCTACCTAGGCACAGGAATAATAAGGCTTCAGTTGCTGAGACAGGAAGGGATGAGGTCACCAGCCTGGAGGCCCTGCCAGGGAAGGCTCGCTGCCTCCGACATGTGCTCCCGGGGCTTCTGTCTGTCCAGTTCTCAGCAGCGCCATTGATGGAGCCCCTGTCGTGCTCCCCCACACCTCCCTGAGGGCTATTTTGCAGCAAGAAGCAGCTCCTCCCTGGGATGCAAGTGCTCAGAGTTTGGTTTTTTTTCCCCCCAAGCCAGACAGCTATCATCATTCACACCACTCACCTCCCTTCCCTCCCTCTCCTCCAGCTCTCCCTTCCTGATCCATCTCCCTGCTTGCCCCACTCTCACCGCACCTGGGATTTCCAATCGCTGGCCTTCAATCCCAGTCTCCATCTTGACTACTAGCAACTTTCTGCTGCTATCTTTTAAAACCTCTGTAATTTGCATTTCCACTAGCCTCCGTCCTGGCACCCCTCACTCTCACACAGTCAGCTCCTGCAGACCACTGAAGCAAGGGCTGGCGGCCCTGATACTGAGTTGCCACGGCCTTCCATGGCAACTACAGGCCTTGAGCTTCTCTGCTGTGGATCTCTCCACAGGTGAAGTTCAACTTCTACCCAAAGAAATATCCAAGTTCCTTCAGAAATGGTACAGACAGACACACCCAAAAGGATCCAAATCCCAGAGATTGGAAGCTGACGGTTCAGCTCTGTGCTGGTGTGTGCCGTGAACTCTGGGCACTTTCAGTGGCTACCTGGTTGACTCGCAGCTGCAGGAATGGGAAGACCCTTGCGAGCCAGGTTCGTCCCTGCACTGACCCTCTCCCCATCCCAGAGAAGGGCAGGGACCACCCTTCTGCGGCACTTTCAGTTTTGTTTCTGCACCGTCAGGCTTGCCAGCCTTGGCTGCAATGCGCAGCTGGAGAGCCAAGCCCCATTCACCACAAGGGAACCCGTTTCCGCCAAGAACTGGGGCCCAGTTCTGCTGTGCTCAGCAGTTTCAGACAAGGTAAGGCAGGATGGGCTGCGGGCAGCAGCCAAGCCAAGCAGACCCACAGAGCCCCATGTGCACTTGGGTCTGGGGCACACCAGCTGTGCAGCTAGGACTAGGAAATGCCAAGTCAGCTCCTGCTGGCCTCTTCTTTGTAGTGCCACCGATGGGCAAGACCAGAGAACAGCGAGGCTGGGACCACAGGGGGCCATCCCACTCTCCTTGAAGTTGGCCACCGGAGCAAGGAGAGAGCTCCGCTTCTCTAGAATGTTCAACTGGCTGGGATCTCAGAAATCGTCCTTGGCACTAACACATGCAAGAGAGATCCAGGGAGCAAGCCAGGTCCTGCTGGGAGGGAGGGGCGGATCAGGGAGAACTCAACACCCAAGGGTGCTGTTTGCAGGGTGTTCTTTCCCATGCCCCAGCCCCAGAAGTTTCCACCGACACCCCCAATCCACTTTGCCTATTTTTATAGACTTGGTCAGAGTGGCTTTTCAGCGCTAAATCAGACTAGAAGGCAGAAAGAGGGAGCAGACACCTCCTGCTCTTCCGCCGCCTACATCTGACACATCTGGAAATGCTATCGGTTGCACCGCAGAAGACCAGCGAGCCACCCCTCCCCCTCACAATCTAGGCTCTCCCTGCACCCTGCCCGCCTTGCTCCCACCCAATCCCACTTGCACAGCCCCAGCAGGATGATTTTCCAAAAACACCCCTCGCACCTGGTGGCTCCCTGCTGCCCCCTGGCGTGACTCGGGAGACGTGGCATGATCTGGGTTCTGCCTGGCTCTGCAGCTTCATCTCTGGCTGGTCCATAACCCGCATTTAAACTTAGGCCACATTGCTTCTGACAGGGCCTCCCACACGCCTCACCTGCTCCATATTCTGTATTGTATGGTCCCTCCATTGGGACAGGTTTACCCCCAGCCATTCAAGTGGGGGCGCTGTCCCCTCTGTAAGTGACAGGGCAGGTCAGATATCACCTCCTAGTCAAGCGTGCCCTCAGTCCCATTGTCACCACACTGACTTTGTGGTAGTGCCTGAGGTGCACATGTTTCCCCTTCATCTTCACACATCCCCAGAACCTAAGCAAGGAGCCAGACCAGGAGAGGCTGGGAAACGCCAAGTCAGCCCCCTGATGCCTGAGCTGGTGCAAAGGCAGCACTTCTACGCTAAGAGGACACAGGTCAGGGAGTAGGGGCCAGGAGGAAAACACTTCTCTGCACGGTTCAAACACCCTCCCTGTCCCTTCTTGTCACCGTCTGCCACAGGCCTCAGCTCAAGGACAGTCTCTATTGCCAGAGACCAGCAAGATGCAGCAGGCATCAGAGGGGTGTCCTTACTTGGTGCCTGCAATCCAGCCTCTGACCCTGACCTTGAGGGCATGGATTCTGCTAAATGTGATGGAAAACTTCGGGGAACTTTAAACCAGGAAAGCCAGCAACCCCAACCAGTAACCCCATACAACTGCTTTCTCTCTTTTTCCCTCTCTCTTTCTCTCTCGCTCTTTCCCCCTCTCTCTCTCCTTCCTTGATTTCTAAATTGTTGCTTGGCCCATCTTGTCTTTGATTAAAAGCCCAGCCTTTAGGTAACACAACTACCCATAGCAGTTCCAACCTTTCATTCCAAGCATGGTCAAGCTACGATGAGCCTAAAATGAAAAACACATTTTGGAAGGAATATTGAAAAAAAATTTTTCCCAACTCTAAATTACACCAAAAGAGAAGGTTGGAAGATATTCCTTTCCCAGGACACACAACTATTATAGGGGCTGGTGCAATGGCACGGCATGCAAGTGATTCACCTGCACCCTGGTATCCCATATGGGCGCAGGTTCAAGTCCTGGCTGCTCCACTTCTCATCCAGTTCCTTGCTTGTGGCCTGGGAGGACAACAGAGGATAGCTCAAGTTCTTTGGTCCCAGCCATCCACGCAGGAGACTAGGAGGAAGCTCCTGGCTCCCAGCTTCAGCCATTGCAACCATTTGGAGAGTGAACCAATGGATGGAAGATCTCTCTGTTTCTCCCTCTCTCTGTAAATCTGCATTTCAAATTAAAATAAGTGAATCTTTGAAAAGGCCATTACCAACTTTATAAATTCCATTTTCTATTTTAAAAAGAAGCCCCCTCAGCCTATGGTTGGACTTCCTGGCCTGGGGCAGCAACAGAGCTTGTCCATGTTGCCATTATCTGTGCCAGAACCACGCCACACCCAAGTGCTTGCCTGGGAGCCAGCAGGCTGGCATCTGACAGCTCACACTTTAAGGCTGAGGTAGAGTGGCCCAGCAGGATGCCCAGGCCTGGCATTTTCACCTCCATGCCCTTCTCTTGTATGCTTTCCTTCTCTTCTAAGGCACAGGAACACAGTACCCCTCCCCTGAGCTACAGGAGATGTGGCCCAAGACCCTCAGGCGATGCCTGAGACCACAGGCAGTGCCAAAGTGTCAGCTCCTGGAACCACTGCTACACCCGATGATTTCAGGGGCTCAGGGAAGTGTGAGCACACAGTGATGCTCAGCATCATGTCTTTCACATAAGGAGACTTCCTGCCTTTTTAGGACCAAGCAATATTCCACTTGCCTTTTGGCTGCACATCTTGATCCTAGGAGCGTTTGTGCCGCTCTAACCCAGGCTGGGCTTTCAGGAAGGTGGCCTTTATGAGATCCATGGGGAAGAGGGAGGAACACGACAGCTGTGCACAAAGTCCCGGAGCCTGCCATAAGTCCATACCCAAGGGGTGCTGCACACTGCCGCAGAGGTGTCAGGCTTGGGCCTGGGGCCAGGGTCTGTCCTGGTGGTATGCCTTCCCCTTACTGACACCAGCTCTGGCTCCAGGCAAATGCTGGGGGACTGGCTCCCCTCCCTGCCTGGGCAAGCCACAGGACACTCAGAAGTACCTGCTGTACTGCAGCAAGGAGCCCAAACCCTTCACCCTCCACTGCCCACCATCCACGCCCTGGCCATCAGCTGGCCCACTCCGACTTCATCACTAGCAGGTGGACTCTGCATCTGACGGGATGAAGTTCCCAGTGGTCATCCAGCCTGTCACCACCACCCTCCTCCCTCCCTCCCCACTCTCTGTCCTCTGCCACCCACCTCCTGCTATACTGAGCCACAGAGGGGTGCTTTCTTGGGATCACGATGCTTCTTCTTTCTTCCAGGAATGACCCTCTCAATGTCAGATTGGCTGAGTCCTACCCATCTATCCTTCAAAACTCACCTCCACTGGCACCTCCTCCAGGAAGCCTTCTCTGATCCCTCAGGCTGAGTTAAGCATCCTTTTGCCATTCGTCCACCTCTAGTCCCAGCACTCCACACATAGCTTGCTAAGTATATACCCTGGTATAGGATGCTTTCATTCAAAGGAAGGGGGCATTTCTCATATTCCTGTGTACTGAGTCCTAATCCCAGTGCCTGAATCATCACCCAAAGTGCTAAGTGGATGCCTGCCTGCAACCAGCTGACCAGATGGCCCTAGCTAGCGATGTCCAGCAATGCTGGTCCCAGGGGGAGAGTGTGTGTGTGTGTCAGCCTCTAATCGGGTTAGCTTCATGCCACATCTACTCCTAAACTAAGTGTGACTCCAGTTCCTCAGCCCAGAGTCTGCTGGTGTCTCCAGAGATCACAGAGGCAGAAAGTTCCCGGTTCTTGGAAGAGGAGAAAGCTGCCAAGGGCAATGTACTACCCCCATCGTCTCTGCCCCCGGTGGACACCCTTCATCCTTCCTCCCACTCAGGGCTCTCAAGCCAACACATTCCCTCTGCGACTGCACAGCTGGAGCTTTCTAGACAGCCCTGCGAGTCATAGTTCCCAAAGGTCAGGACAGGAGAGGGGCTGGAAGTGTGTCAGCAGAAGAAACAAAGCCACAGGGACAGTTTCAGGAAAAGGGCAGACTTCCTGCTCTTGTCCCCTGCAGATCCTGCCCACGCTCCTAATAGCATAAGACACAGGGAGCCCCACCTCCCGCTACCAGGCTCAGTCCTGCTCACATTCTCACCTCCCACCTCCAGTGGGCGCTGCTGAGTTAATGGCCTGAACCATGTCGGTGGTGAGTGCGTCCAGGAGGCTGGTGATAAATTCCAGTTTCTTCTCTTCTGGACAGCCTAAACGATAAAATGAGTCTGAAGACAGATGCCAGACAAATAATCAAAGAAACAGCCTTTCTCAACTATCATGCATTCCCAAACCTCTTGAAGTCTTCCTTGTCCAGCCAAATCCACTTTCAGGATTGTTTACTGCTCAGATGATTCTTATAAGCCCCCTAATTCTTCTAGCCCCGCGAGACGATAAGACCAAGTGGATAAAAATGCTTAACATTTTCTTCCACTCCACACATTTTGGCTGAGAACCAACTTGAACACTTTGTTCAACACTGCAGACACAACAGTGAACAACACACAGGGCCCTTCTCCTTGGGAAGCCCAGACATTGGAGACTTGAGCAGACGGGCACGACGTCACCCTGGAGCGTGAAGAACATTGCTCAACAGGTGAGGACCAGCCATGGGGGCACACGAGGCGGCAGAACTCTCAGTGGCTGGAGCGGGCACTGCAGCACAGCAAGTTAAGCCAGTGTTTGCAACGCCAGCACCTCCCAACAGAGTGCTGGTTTCAGCCCTGGCTGCTCTGTTCCTGACCCAACTCTCTCACACTGCACCTGGAAAGGCAGTGGACAATGCCTGATTGCTTGAACCCCTGGCATTCATGTGGCCAGGCGTTTCAGGCTTTTGGCTCAAGATCTGGCTGCTGCAGTCATTTGGGAACCAGCAGGTGGAAGCTATCTATCAATCTGTTTATCTATCTATTATCTAATCTATCATCCATGTATCACTTTGTGCTGCCTTTCAATGAATAAATAAATCTTAAAAAAAAAAAAAAAAAGAAACCCCAACAGTAAAAGATGACTTGTTCAAGAACCTCCTCTTTGTTCACTACTCTCCCACACAACCTGGATTACAATTACAAAATGTGCCTGGTAAATACCCCCAAAACTTTGCTCTCCTTTTCCTCACTGCACTATCCTAGAAAGCACAGTGCCCTCCTCAGTCACAGGCCTGTTCTGTATGTACACCCACAGGGCTGGGCATTGCCCGAGATGACACCCAGTACACAATGGGATAGATGGGTGTCCCCAAAAGCTCACAACTGCCAATGGGCTCTCAACAGGGCTCATGATCCTCCTCTCTACCGAAACCCCCCAGGTGTCAGGTTCAACACACGTGGTCAAGAAGGCGTGAAATGCCTGGTGAACTCCCCCTCGCATCCTCACATCACCTGGCTGTGTTCCATGAGAGGTTCTGTTGGAACTATTTATGCCAGAGCACTTCAAAAAGTTCATGGGGAAATGGGATTAAAATACAGATTTTGTTGCAAAGACAAAAATTGTACTCCATACTGGAGAGTTCATGGAAAATACATGTTATGAAAAACTGTTCATGAATTTTAAATCTTCAGGGACTGGTGTCAGGACACAGCATGTTTAACCTCTGCCTGTGATGTCAGTAAACCATATAAGCACCAGTTTGAGTCCTGGCTATTCTGGTCCAGCTCCCTGCTAATGCTGCTGGAAGGCAGCAGAAGATGGTCAAGTGCCCATGTGGGAGATCCAGATGAGTTCCTGGCTCATGGCTTCAACCTCACCAGGGAATAAACCGTGTAATGGAGGATCTCTTTTTCCCTATTGTCTCTCTCCCCACTCTGTAACTCTGCCTTTCAAATAAACAAAAGAAAATATTTTAAAAATTCAAATGTGTGGTACCAAAATAACTTCTCTTTTAATTTCATCCTTCCACAAACACTTTAAACTATCCCAGTATACGGATGGATTCCTCTATTTGTGTATAGTCTGTTCCTCCATTTTGTAAGGCTCATGCAGATGTTGCCCACTAAGTTAAACCAAGCACCAGGCACCTAGTAGAATTTTAACCCCCACTAGGGGAGGAGGAGGAGGCTAGAGGGAGGTACGCGGCCCCATGACTTCTCCCTTCTGACAGGGTGACTACCACACGCTGTGTGGCAACCCTCTGACTTCCAGGACTCATTGCTCCCAGCCCTCACTCTGGAGCCAGGCTGTGTTACAGAAGGGGGCTCTAGTTCCCACCAGCGCTGAAGTGAAAACACTGAGATTCCATGACTGGCAGTGGCTTATCAGGCTAATCCCCGGCCTGCAGTGCCAGCATGCCACATGGGCTATGGTTCAAACCCCAACTGCTTCATTTCCCATCCAGCTCCCTGCTGATGCACCTGGAAATGTGGCAGAGAATGGCTCAGGTCCCTGGGCCCCTGCATCCAGTGGGAGACGGGAAGAAGCTCCTGGAGTCAGATCAGCTCAGCTCTGGTCATCACAGTCATTTGGGGAGTGAATCAGTGGATAGAAAAATCTCTCTCTCTCTCTCTCTCTCTCTCCCTCGCTCTTTAAGAGTCTCTCAAATAAAAATAAATAAATCTTAAAAAAAAGCAACAACTCTGAGATTCCAGATCCCTAGTCTCCAGTAACAGCCCAGCACGGTGGTCGTTTGGAGGTCCTGAGCTCCTTTCTGTGTGTCTTCTGTCACCCTCCACGGCCATCCTGTGCAACCAGGCACCTCTGAGGGACAGGTAACAGACCCAGCCCCATCCATAGTGACAGCTCCTCCCTGCAGGCTGTTTTCTCTTCACAGTCCTGGAAAAAAAATGATTCACAGACCCCTAAACATTATGCCAGGGGCGGGAAAGGACTGGAGAACTGCAGAGGCAGGATTTTAATTCAGTGGAGACAGAGAGAGATCTCTCATCCACTGTTTCACTCCCCAGATGCCACAATGGTTCAAATTGGATCAGACTGAAATCAGAAGCCAGGAGCTCCATTCATGTCTCCCATTTGGCGTACAGGAGCCCAAGCACTTGGGCCATCTTCCACTGCTTTCTGACGCTCATTAGCAAGGAGCTGCATCAGAAGTGGAGTAGCAGCACTTGAACCTGTGTTCTGATGGGAGATGCTGATGTTGTAAGCAGCAGCGTCACCTGGCTGCGCCAAAGTGCTAGCTTCAGTGACTATGTTTCAACGATAGAGGCGAGACCAAGAAGGAGAATCAATTTGCTCAAGAGTATAGGAGAAATCAGGGACAAATCTCAGCCTGAAATGGCTGCTGGTCCCCCACACCTGTGCTGCCTGCCCAGCAGCCCCCACTTCATCTCACAGACCAGGAAGACTGCTGGGAGAGCAGCTTTCCCATGCAGAGGGGGGTGCAGGGGCAGCACATCTCCCACCTGGTAGCTCCCTGTCCTTGAAGGGGTCGTCTACCTCCGCGCTCTTGGCTCTGGCGTCGCTCTCACAACTGGGCATCACGTATCTGGGAAGAGAGAGATGGTACTGAGAGGGGTTGGCAACTGAGACCTATTCAGCCGCTGCTGCCTGGCAATGATCTGTGTAGTTACTGGGCCTGCAGTGCCCAGGGCTGGCAGCAAAACCTCCCCTCACTGGCCAGCAGCCCCGGACAACTTCAGCAGAGATGTTCCCCTTGAGACATGTTCGGCATGTCACTTTAATCACTCAAACACAGCAATTGTGTCACCTTAGATCTGCACCTGGGGTCTCTTTTGAAGCAGAGAACATCAGCTGGCAGAGCAGACATTTCTTACCAGAAAACGGGCATTCAGGGAGCTCAAATTCTTTTCCAAGGCTCCTAACCAGGAAGGAATGAATCCATGACCAGAATCCTAAGCCCAGGTTTTTTCTATCAGTCCCTCATCAGCACCACTTCTGACCTCCCTGCCATCCAACAAAGGCAACAAAGCAGGCAGGTGCCAGGACAAGCGCTGATCCGCTTGCTTGGGGCCCGGGCTGTAGGACAGGCTCTGCATGTGCTTACCGTGTTGATGTCCCAGGCAGTGGGCGCCCCGTGTCCACTAGCACACACCAGCAGTAGCCAGTGGACTGGTGACACTGCACGGGCTTATAGAGGCCCCCAGGGGCACACTCGGGGATGACAATGCCCTCACGGGGGTTCTGCCGGGCCTCTTCCAGGGCGCTCTGCCTTTCCTGGTCACAAGAATGGACTTTCTCTGCAAAAGAGCACACAGCCTGGCAGTGACTCCCACTCCTGTAAGTTTCCTCTCCCGTCTTCTCTTTCTAGCACCTTATGTGCAGGCTTCACCCCACATGACTGATGGCTTGGCTGACAAATCACCAGGGAGAGGGATGGGGAAAGGGAGAGAGAGCTGTGTCTCCCACAGCTGACAGGGGAGAGGGCCCTGCCTGTGCCCACCCTCATCCACCGCCAGACTTTCAGCCCCCCTGTCCAACAGGCCATGCTGCAGCTATGAACCAGCCAGGGCTTCCCTGGGGTAGCAGTTCCCCCAACCTGTCCCACCCAACCCCACCTTGGGAGCAGAGTTTCCTCCCTGTTGCCAGCTTGAATCCCACTGATGCATGCTCTACCAGCTCCAAGAGAGGCAGTGCCAGGGACCTGGCTGCCCTGCGAGCTGAGCAGGAAGGTCCCTCCCTGGAGACAGCTTGAGGCCTGGATGTGTCAGGACAGAACCACGTCTGCTGGCCTCCTGTGGATACTTCAGAGGGAAGGACCAGCTCCAGCTCTGCCACAGCTGGACCCAATAGCCACCTGCTACATCCATCTAGTGGGAATGAGAATAGACCCACTGGGAAGGTGACCACACTCAGGACCCTGGGACTACATGAGCATGGCTGAGCTGCCACACCTGATTTCCTTGAACCAAGGCCATGCTAAGGCAGTGTACGGTGCTCCGTGCCAGGCATGTCCAGCCCCAAGGGACCTCATGCCTGTTCTGCTCTGTCTCTGAAAATGTGACTCCATCAATGTTACTTCGTAAAATTGTCTTTCAATTCCATTTTTTCCCAAACACTTTGGAACACCCTCACAGAAGAAAAGAGTAAATGCTTAATCTGTAGGTGTGCCCAGAGATGCGGAGTGATGCCGCCCTGTCCCCGGGAGAAGTTAGATGATGGAAAAGCTGTTCTTCCTCTCCTTGACAAACATTGCCAGCAATCCTTGTCGTGCAGCAAGGGGAATGCTTCTTTGTGGAAACAAAAATACCTCAGGGCCAGGGGACAGTATGTGCAGCACATGCACTATTAAAACACAGTTGCCATTCAGAAAATGGGAACCTATTGCTTTCACAGTGCAAACAGAAGCAGCTGGGAAGATTCCCATCAACTACAGGAAAAGGAGTTTATGAAGAACAGCAAGCATCAGAGTTGGGGATTCTGCCCACTACTGCACTCTCGGTACCCACCAACAGATCAGCACCGAGCAGCATGCTTAGGAAAAACAGAGTGAGATGGAGTGGCAAGTGGGACCTGAAGGAACCTGTCTGAAAGATGTTGAATTTCCACTTCAGCCCTTGGCCAGCATGGTGCCATGGCAACATCAACTGGATTAGACAAGAGTGTCTCAATAGCTCCTACGGCCCCCAATTTGGGAACCTACCTCGTATTTCACTCCATGAAAGAGGTGACAGGAGAGCAAAGCAAAGGAAAACTTCTCACTGGTGCCACGTTCGGCTAACAACCTCTGACAGAGGCTTTAAATTAAATCTCTCCAGGCCGACCTCTACAAGTCGTAAATCAGACTGCGAGCCAGACACAGAGAGACAGGGTTGGGAGGATGCCTCCCCAGCACACAACCCATGGTAGACCCAACTTTCCACACCCCAGGGGCTCCTGAAGCCCAGAGAAATGTGGACTGGGGTTGTCCAGGAGGTACACGCCTGTGGTCTTGGCTTTGGCGATACGTTTCTGGAAGGCCTTGAAGATTGTTCTGAAATGTTTACAGTTAGCTTCTGGAAAGTTCTAGAGAGCATGGAAACCATAAAAATGATGAAGTTCCCTAAGTGAACAAATATAGGTTAGCACAGTTAAGAGAGAAGGCTGAATGCAAGCATAAGAATTCAGTATTTATTCTCTTTGTCTTTTATGAAGCTCCATAAGAATGAGAGATGGTTCATCACAACCTTTGTGAAGCAAACTGTTGGTTTTCCAACAACGTCTCCCTTGAAATTATGTTTACGCTAGCAACAACACAAGCAGATATGTCAAATGTGCTCAGTGGAGACCTAAAGTCTATGCTTGGCCTTGTCCCTTTGCCCATCCAAGGTAAACAAGGAAGCTTAACTTAGAAGAGACATAAAATTTCCCCCAAGTACATGCAGCTGGGAGAGAAGGAGGCTAAGGATTTTAGTCAAGGTTCCCGATGGCCAAGGCCAGCTTGCTAAGCCCTAAACAGCATCACCATCAACTATCCATGGAGGAGAAATGCATCTACTTACACAGTGAGCTCTTTCTGGGTCCTGTGTTTTACAGACTACCTGAATTTGCTGGGTTCAGAACTTAGGGTGTTTGGCACAGCCCAGCTGCCTCTGGGCAGATGACATCCTGTGGCAGCACCCTGTCACTTCTGTGCCTCCCTTTCTTGCTTCAGAACTAGAAAACCCAAATCCAATGTATAACTCCCCCAGCACAAGAGAACTGTGAAGCGAGTAACAGTGAATGACACCTCTTTGAGCGTTTACCATGGAAACAAACACCTGCATGAACTGACTTCAAGCTCATCAGAAGCCTTTAAGAGAAATGTTGCTGTGATCTTCACTGAACAGAGAACACAGAGAAAGATCGGCTAACTCCACCTGTGTCAGACAGTTATGAAGGGGCAGAGTTAGGACTGGAGCCCAGCTCTGTTCTTCCCCTCTGCAAATCTGAATATCTTCTAGCCTTCATTTCCCTTTACTACTATGGTAGATCATGAGCCTGGGTCTGCACTGTCAATTCTGATTTATTTTGGCTGGCGATGGAATGGATGAGTAACAATGGGACTAGACCAGGGTCCACAGAGTCCTGGAGCATCCACGTGGCACTTTCTAGGGAGCCATGAACACAAACGAGTGTAACCTTGAGAAGCAGAGCCCCTGACAGTATGAGGGCAGCAGCTCTGCCCACATCCACACCAGCTGTAGGTGTGTGTGTACAGATCATCTTAAACATTCCAGAATCACAGATACTCTCCCTGGAAGCATTCAGGAACGAATTCAAGTAAAGCAAGTCCAAGTCTCCCAGCAACCCCACAGCCATGTTAAAAAGGAAGGGGAGCAAGGAAGCTGTGAGGTGCATTGCCACACAGCAACAGATAATTGCAACGTCTAGACCTGCTCAGCTCTCCGTCAGTCTCCCCATAGCCTTTGCAAAGCCCTTCAATCAATCAACCAGCCAATGATTCCTGCAGTGCCTCTCCTAAATCAATTATTCATGCAAAACTCATCAGTGAACCTCAAGGGACAAAAGCTCATCTGACTCAGAAGTAGGTTTGTCCTTGGAACTGCCGTCACCTTCTGCCTTGCTCAATCACTTCCTAGATGAATCTTCAAAGTCATATGTATCAGTTTTCCCAGGTGCCAAGAAGTCATCTTCCGGGAGACAAGAGCACAGCTGTATTTCAAGGGTCTCTCCAGATGTGGACACCCACTATTCCAATGCGCTCACTCTCACCCTAGGAAAGTCCAAGGACATAAGCCAAGAGGAGAATGGGCCAATGCCATCTGCACACGCTCAAAAGTCACAATCAACAGCAGGAAAGAGGAACATCCAGGGTTGCCAGGGCTGGGGCTTGAGCATGTGGAGCCACACACACACTTACACACCTACCCCTGGGATGGTGCTGAGAAAGACCAAGAGAACCAGGTCATCCCCATGCAGCAATGAGTGGTTGAAGCTTCACCCACAAAGCTCTGGGAGTCTCAGAGAAAAAAAACACAATAGAAAAGCATCCCCAGTAAGAAATGCAAGAAAACGCCACTAGACAACATAGAGTCTCCAGATCTTCCAACCACACCTGACACCAGGCAAAGCAGACCTGGGGTGGAACAGCAGTGGCAGAAGGCAGAGGAAGCATAAGGGTGAGCCACATGGACATGAACCCCAGGGCCTAGGTCCTTACACAGTACACTGAGACAGGCTAGCATGAATGGCCATCTATGTGACTGGCCTGGGTCTCTCCATTCTGCTTGGTAATTAAGAGCAAAGAGGATGCGGAAAAACTAATCCCCAGCTAATCCCCAATTGTGGCTTTAGCCCAGAGTTTATCCTTCTGTCCTGGGAATCTTTCCTCCTTCATCATCTTTTTCTTCCTCTACCATTTTTTTTTTCCTTAAGCAAAAACAGCCAACAAACATAAACATGATAAGATTTGAGTTTCAACTCCTTGTGCTGCTCTTTCTTTCTGGTGTCTGGTCAAGGAACTGTTGAGGGAAAGAACAGAAAAGCTGCAGTCTGGCTCAGGCACTGAGCACAGGATTTCAGACACCCCTTTGCATTCCCACATACCATATCAGAGTGCCTGAGTTCAAGTCCAGGCTTAATTTCTCAATCCAGTTTACTACTAATGCACACATTGAAAGGCTCAAGTGCTTGGGTTCCTGCCTCCCACAACGTCACTCGTGTGAGCCCAAGCTTTGTTCCTGCTGCGGTGGGCATTTTGGGACTGAACCAGCAGATGGAAGATCTCTATCTCTCTCTGTTTCCCTCTCTCTTTCTCTCTTAAAACCATGAAAATAAATAACAAAAACAGAGGAAAGCTGAGGTCCTGGTAGCCTAACATGCAAACACCTCAAAAATGCTGTCAGTGCTTATACTGGGCCAGCCAAGGTGTGAAATTTTTGGAGGAAGAAGATGGGAACTTCACAATGTTGGAGGCAGGAGTTGAGAGCAGTGGAGAGAAAAAACAATGGTTGGAGAAGGTCTGTATCACCCAAAGAGAACCAATAGAAAACACATTCAAGGCTACTTTGAAGCATTCACAGAGAAAGACAACTAAAAGATAAGGTGCATCTTTCATGAATTTGCCCATTTACATATTTGACACAAAAGGAGACAGATGAAGGCAAAGAAACAGAAAGAAAACTCCCACCTGGTGGCTCACATCCTCCAAGATGCCCCCAACAGTCAGTTCTGTGCCAGGGCTAGAGTGACTCCAAAGTCAGGAGCCAACAAAACCATCCAGGTCTCCTACAGGAGTGTCAGAATCCAATTCCTGGAA